TTTTTATTTCTTCAATAGGGTCAAACATGATGAATTAGAGGCTACATTTTTTGACGAGAGGGAAGCACTTGAAGCTGAATATCAGACATTATATCACCCCTTATATGCCAAGGTTTGCCTAAGGCCATCTATTCTCCGGTCCTCATCTCTACTCCAGCGCATCTTTATCTCTACGCTAGAGATGAAACAGTAATTCATCTCCAACGCTATCTCTACATTACCATTAACTCTATTTTATTCACAATATTTAATTATTATAATATTGATTTTGAAAATATAAAATAAAACATATACATATCTAAAAAATATCAAGATAAAAAGTTTAAATAAAATATTTATAAATAATATTGCGAAAATACAAATAAATAAAAAAATTCTAATTTCAATGTATTTTTATCTATGTTACAATTTAATCTATCTTTAATCTAATTTAATCTACTTTAATCTAATTTAATCATTAAAAAATTCTATATTTTTATGTTTGTTGTATTTTTATGTTTCAAAAAATTAGTATATTTATTTATCTAATTTCAATATATTTTTATCTATCTTACAATTTAATCTACTTCAATCTAAGTTAATATATTTTAATCTATTTTAATCCTAAAAAAAAGGAAAAAAAAGGAATTTGTAGCGTTGCTACAGTATCACGCTAGATGTAGCGTGGTACTGTAGCTATCTTCAAAATGGCGCAGCACCGGAGGCATTTTTCATCTCTACTTTGGCGAAAATCTCCAATGCAGCGCAGCATTGGAGATGCCCTAAGAAGGGATCAAAGAATGCCAAGCCAATCACTAAAACAGAAGATTGTGAAAGTTTCTTCAACTTCTTCAATCCTCCTAAAGTTCCCGATGATGATGATGAAGGGATTGATGAAGATACCGTATGGGCAACCTCAAAATAGCAATATAAATTTTGATGATTGATTCGCTACTTTTGTTTTTCAAATCGTTTTCTCTTTCTTGCACATGCTGAAGAGCTTCAAAATCTAATGGAACAAGACTATGACATAGGGTGTGTTCTCTTTCCAAGCTTACTCTAGTTATAGGCTCTTTCGAGTTTGGAGATCTCTTCAAGCTTCTAATGAGCTCTATATATTTATCAAACTGATATTTTGGGTCTTATTCTATCTGTTCATTTGTGTAGATCAACAATTCGAGACAAGATTATTCCACATGCTTTGTCACGGTTTACAGGAGAAGCTATTCAGCGAGATGAGTAGAGATAGAGGATAACGATGAAGATGATGGAAATGAAGATGACGACGAGGACGAGGATGATGAAGGAAGTAAGCACTAAAGAAGGTATGTGATAATTCGTCTTATTACCCTTCCAAATTTTTAAGTGAACACTAATTTTTCATTCCATGAAAATGTTGCTGCAGTCTATGTAATATGTCAAAAGGAAAAGAAGGGGTAAGGTTGTTTACATAGTTTTGATGGTTATTTTTTTACAAACTTATGGCAAACCATGAATATGATTGGTTTGTAAGTTTCAAAAAACGGTCCGCGATCGCGATTTCGTCCGCGATATATCGGTTTCGCCGCTGTCTGAGTTACCCGCGACGGCCGCAATAGCGTCCGCGACGACCGCAATCACGGTAAATCCGAAATAACTAAAAACGCGACCGCGATTTGAAACTCTGTGGAGAACCCTTCTTTTTCCCTTTTTGGTTTGTTTTTACTAGGATGTGGTCTCCTAGTCAGTAGATATGTTGACATTTTCTCCATGTGAATGTTACCAGTAACTCGAGTATATCTGTCTAGGAATGGACTAAGAGAGTGCTCGGAGATGCGGTTGTATCCTTTGGAAATTTTATATTCTCATATAGTTTATTTTATATTTTTATATTTTTTATTGATGATCTAATTTTATACCACAAATTTTTAATATAATTTTTTAAATTCACGACTTCAAACATAAAAGCTTGCGTTTGTTTATATATTTACGTCTGCATAGTGTTCATCTTATGATAGCTTTGTCATCAATCATTCTGTGGCATCTGCGTAGATTTCTTTTAATTTCGTGCCAGCCCCTACGGTTAATTCCCCCCCCCCTTTAATTTTCTCCTTGGTTCAAGATGATGTTCGTTGGTTTTTCCCTTGTTAAAGGCCCAAATGGTTTGTTGAAATGCTGCTCTATTTGTAAGATAAAATGTATATGAATATCAATACATAAACATTTGTATTTAAATTAATATTTAAGTTGAGTTTTTTAATAGACATTTTATATTGCAACTCTTTGAAAGTATATTCTTATTGTTTTTTTTTTTGTATACTTTTTTGTATTCCTGTCAATATTTTATCTTTAAAATTATTTTTTAAAGAAATAATATTATAAATATATTATATAATATTTAATTTATTAAATAATATTATAAATATTTATTACATAAAAAAGAATATGATGAAGTATAAATTGAAATAAATAAATATTATAATTAATTTAAATAAGTATATCTAGTTTTATATAAAAAATTAAAAAATACTTGTTAAGTAAAGTTTAAAGCTTTGGTGGTATGAAGGATAAAATTAAGAAATGATAATTTTATTGATGAAATTATTAAGATTTAAAGTAAAAAAGATGGATATGAAGTTTAACTATTTGATTAATAATTTTTTTTTCTTTATATTAAATTCTAAATAATAAAATGACACTTGTCAAATTCATTAATTTAATTTATTTTATTGATTTGAAAGAATATTCACAGTTATACACATATTAATTTAATTTGATTTCAGGTTAATCCAAAGTAAATGGTCTTGTATAAATATGAGTTGTTTACAAATTCTAAAGGACAAAATGAGAATGATGAATGATGTAGAAAAACCCAGAAGAATGAATAGAGGAAGACTGGTCAGTGATACACAATTACAAGTCTCGGATCAAATCAAGTTCTAGAAACAAAAATTAAATGTTTTTGAGCCACTCATTATAAAATGTTGACCGAAACCAATCAGACACCATGTGTTCAAATCATCATTCTGTTTCACATTCAGTATAGTATTAGATTCTGAACCTTTTCACCTCCTTCAATAACCTGGACTCGTTATCTGTAGTGGGGCTGGACTTATATTAATCCATAAAATATTGAAGAGATCATTGGTTTACGTTCAAATAATTATTTTAGTTATTAAAATTATAATTAATAATAATCATGAAAATTTAATAAATTTGATGACTATTTAATAATTTTTAAAAGTTCAATGATTAAAATAATCATTTGAACATGATGTAATGACCTGCTGTATACTTTATCCTATAAAAATTTCTTAGGAAAGCTGCTTCCTCAATCCATCAACGTAATCAACTGTTTCTCCTTTCTCCTTTTATTAATTAAAAACTTCTTAAGTGTGCTTGAATTTACGTATGTTTAGATGTTAAAATAACAATTATATTAAATTAAATTAAAAATTCAATTGAATGATCCGACAAATAACAAGTTGTTTTAGACAATTGATATGTAAATAGATAGTTTATTTTCTAAATGTATGACTAAATGAATGTGTCCGACAAATTGACTGCAATTTTATGGATGAAAAGGAGGCTATGAAAGCGACCCTTACTTGTTATCTCCCCTTTGATTGAATGAGTAAGAAACCATATAATAAAACGTTTAAATATGCATTCAAAGTTGGTCTAATATCAACACAACTTTACTTTCCAAGACTATCAACCCTATTGAATTATTGCCATACTACCCTTCATCATCAATTTCGATCTGAATTTAAAACTCAGATCAACTTGATTTTATTACAAAAAAACAAAATTTTAAATTTGTTTAAAATTCAAATCAATCTAAATTCAATGATCTAATTTTGACATCACTTGAATCTAAAATAATCAAATTAAATATACATAAAAAAATATAATCTGAAGTTATCCAAATTTAAAACGATTAGAACATGAAATGATTTTATCTAAAATATTTCAAACGATTCATACCTAAAATTAATCAAAATATAAAATGATTCTAATCAAAATAACCCATAAAATTTACAATATGAATGGACCAAATTCAATATTCTATTCTACTTTTTGGGGGGCCGGTTGGTGGTGGTTTGTTGAGACGGCGCTTTTGACTGAGATTTTTGTTGGAATGGTACAAAAGAATCCGTGGAATTTTATGTAGACCATGTTATTTTGACCTACTAATTATAAAATTAGTTGATCTTATTCCCATATGTAATGGGGTGAGGGGAGGTAGGATCGCCAGGTTGAGAGCAGTTACCGTGGAAGACCTCCGGCAGTCAAAATTATGAATTGCCTACCGTGTGATTCGATCCTACGACCACAAGGTTAAAATCCTTGCGCTCTACCAACTGAACTGTACGGGCAATTCAAGTGACCTACTAATACTATTATTAATAGTATATATGTATAAATTAGGTTTTAGTCCCTAAACTAGATAATTTCTTTCAACATGCTCCCGTAACTTTTTTCTTATCCACTCTAGTCTCTTACCTTGGCAACTTTCTCATTTTAGTCATTTTGATGGCATGATTAGGGGTGAATATTCGAGTTGAGTCCAGTGAAAAAATGAATTAGTTGTGTTTACGAGTATCATTTTTTCATTCAAAATTTTTTGGAATTTTTACGAGTCAAGTGAAGTTTATGAAATTCGATTTAAATTGAATCATATATACTTGTTTTGTTCAAATTTAAATATAATTATTTATAATGTTACGATATTAATTGGTTTCAATTAAACGACTCTCTCCACCTATATATGTACAATATATGCCGTTTTTTCACCATTCTAGTTACTAAGTTAGTTATATAGTTGAATGCTTGTAATGATCGATTCTAATTGCAACTATTACTCTCGTTGAAATTAAATTAATTGTATATTGTCGTACCTGTAATGATCGAATTCGATCGTAGCCGTTAATCTAGTTAAAAGTTGCATCGAAACAAAAAATTCACTAAAATAATCCGATCAAAATTCAAAATTATATAATTTACAGCAAAAGAAAGGACAAAGCTGTTGACTACAAGAGAAATTGTTTTGATCACTGATTAAAGTGATTAACGTATGGGATTGTATTAAATCACTGTGCTAAGTCTGTGATTAGTCTTCTCACTGCTTCCTTGAAGGTGGATTCATCCCATCCATTGCCCTACAAATATATCAACAAAAGGCCTTGTAATTTTGTGCTGAAATGACTTAAACTAAATAGTTATTTGTTGAGGGACTAAAAATGTAATTGTTCATGGCTTCGCCTCTGAATCTAAGTAGCACAAATGAATATATGAATGGTCCGATTCGTCCATAAGAAGTCATCTACTTGAATCTATTCCGAATCAGAAAATGACCTAAATCCACACCAATGCCTTGAACTCAAATACCAAATCCGAATGAAAAAATTATGGAAATAATTTAACCCAACCCACCAATGCCTCAAATATGATGAATTTGCATACCTCAATCCTGAGTCTCAAGTTAACAAGATTAACCGAACCAAATTCCGATAAACGAGTGTTAGCTTCAACGGACTTCAATTTCACATTTCTATCAAGCTTCAAGAATTCAAGTAGATGAATTAAGATATCCGCGATCGACCCTTCTCCTCTGACATTAACTCTTAGATCGATGAGTCTTTGTTGGGATGTGGATTCGGATACAGGCATAACGACAACATTTACCCTCTCGCTCGATGAACTATTAACTTCCATGGCAGCTTCTTTGGATGGCAAAAGCTGTGCTTCTAGCAATTGGTTTTGCCTACTAAGCTCCATTATTTGTTCCTTCAACGAAGCCAAGTATTCCCTCGCACTTATAAGCACCGATGCTTTGTCTCTCTACATGAATGCCCAAAAGTAATGTTGTAAATCAATGGTCGAGTCCTTGTACTTTCACAAAAGTTTATATTCATTCCCGTGGTTGAATTATATAAAATATTAAACTATACTCTTTGGATTTCAAAATTCTAGTTTAATCATTGACATCGATAGTGTTAACCATTTAAGCATTGTTCAATGACCTATGGTGTAATTTGTCTTAATCATTTTAAGTATAAGGGTTAAAGTGAAAAATTCATCCAATTCCAGGGATTAGAAGCACATTTGACCTAAGCATAAATAAATCACTTTAGGTACCTTGGTGCCCGGAGGAAGAAGGGATCGCAATGCAGTGAAACTTTCATTGAGTTTCTCTCTTCTTTTCCGTTCCGACATCATGTGGTGCAACTGATTGCTAGTCTGGCGGCTTCCGATCAGCTGTTCCCGCCTCGCCAGATTGAATTTTCTATAAAACAAAATCACTCGTTTCATCATAGCTTGAGCTCGTAAACTGGACCTCGCCGGCGTCGTCGTCGGACCGCCAAACGTCGATGCATAGCGCTTAAAAGCACTAGCATTGGGGTTTAGCTGGTAATTGTATGGCAAATTCTGGTTCCGTTGAAGGGGAGTCGAAGAGGAGGAAGCAGAAGAAGAGGAAGGAGACGTTAAGACGGCCAGGATCGCCTTCGTCATCGCCTTGTTATCGCCCTCAAGCGTCGGTAGCCGGACGTTGCACCGCATTCGAGAAAAGGCTTGCATGGCTTGGCGAGGATCGTTGAACGAAGAAGGTTCGTGAGTGGTCGGGACGGTGAAGATCAAAGAAGAATCCGGACTGCTCGTGGATAGTGACCTTAGCGACGACGAAGACGATGACGGCCGATTCGGATCGGTCGATTGCGGAAGCTGATCTTCCAACGGAGACAATTGTCTGCAGAAATCTCCGGAGAAGAAGCTTCTCATCTCCATCTCCATGTTAAGCTGCAATTAATAAGACAATATAAAGTTGAGTGATACATCGTATATATATATACATCGTATATATATATATATTATAGAATGGCGGCATTATAATACACGGGGAGTATTAGTATTAATTTATTGGGTAAAGTGCGCTATAGATTACTCAATTATGTATAATTGATTGTTTTAATCATTAAACTTTTAAAAATTATAAAATGATCATCAAATTTATCGAACTGTTATAAAATAATAAGTGTAATATTATAATAAGGGTAAATGTTCGATAAACTTAATGACCAATTAATAATAGTTTGATAAAATTAATAATTATTTTATATTTTTTAAATTAAATAATCAAAATGACAATTTAAGTACAATTCAATGACATTTAGTATACTTATTATTTTACTTACTTGTGTCACACTTGATGACCCTAATTCAATCTCTCCACTCCTGCATGCCATAAATACAGCCGTCTGCAATATTTTGATGGTATATATCAGATAAAAGGAATCTAAATGACTCGAACTTGAAAACTATAAGAAAGTATTATATGAATCAGATTGTTAATCCGAATGGAAAACTTAAAATGACCCAATCCAAAAACCATTATAAGATCGAAATGACACGAAAATTTCGAAACTATAATCGACCCAACTCGAAAGCAAACTGAATCTAAACGTTTACGACATGTTTTAAGATTTGAGAAGTAGAACAAACCTTGATCCCTGCTTCCTGCAGTAATCAAAGACAGAAGATACGTTAGTCTAGTTCATGTAAAACCACAATCTAGTACTGTTCAGTTAATGTCATGGGAGATTTGCATTGTTCTTTACCCGATAGAACCGCCTTTGTGTCTGATGTGATGCTCGGTTTTGAAGCTCCGATTCCTCGAACTCAACGTAAGGCTGATTCTTCCCGAACGCAAATCCTGGAACGAGCTCACTGCAGTACAGAAAATGAGAAAATCCCGCAGAGATCAATGACAAATTTAACAGGTTTAAAGAAGATTGAAATCTGTAGCAAGATTTGTCATACTGATCGTTTTGAAGATAAAATATTGATCGTCGGTACTCCAGGAACAACCCCAAAGGTATCGGCCGGTTGTTTTCTTTATTGTAACATCCATCCCAGCCGAGTAAACAGCTGCAATGGGTGTTTGCTTGTTTCAGTGAGAAAGACCAGAGGCAAATATAAGTGCAGCATGTGGATTGCATTAGCAACTGCAGGAATTCAGCACGAGATGCTTCATCGAGGTGGAAGACGGCGTCCATGAAGAATGGCGAAATCAAAATGGTATTTTTTTTCTGTGGTAAACTAGCAGTTAGGGAGATCCCTATACTGCTGGTTTAAGTTTCATGGTGTTTGATTGTTTTTATAAAAGAAACGATATTGTAATAGCTTCATTGTTCGTCTGGTAAATTTAGGTGACTGAGCTTGGAAAAGTCTTTAGGGGAGGGTCTAATTACATTTTTAGTCCCTATATTATATTAATTTGGTCATTAATATTATCCAAATTGATAACAGCGTTTAGTTGCTGTTGTTCAAGTGCTTGCACAAAGTTCTTTTACCTTTATCGATTGTACAGTTAGGGTTACATGAAAGTCCAATCAAACAATCTTCGACTATAAACTTACACTTCGATTGAATATTTAAGACGATTTTAAAACTCCAATCTCATCACTTTTAACGATAATAACTCATGATGTTATCTATTTGGACCTGATAGTAATAATTATAAAAGTAGAGGGTTGGGTCGACTGAACCAAGAGTGGAGTCTTTAACATAGGATGAAATTATGTCAAATCAAAATTTAATATTGTACAGGGAGTAAATTCAAATTAATCCAAAAGCTATAAAAGGCGGAACGGGCCAGCCAGCCAACCTGAGAAAATATGGAAAAGTAATGGTCAAAGTCATCCCTCCCCATGATTCGTTTGAAAAGAGTCAGTCATGGAATGCAGATTTCCTAAACCCCACCTATTATTCTTTAAAAATAAAGTTTCGCTTCTTTAATTACTTTTGAAAAATCTGAGTTAATTGTCATTTTTCAATTTAATCCCTAAAATTTTGAATATTTTAATTTCATCCTCAAACTATGAGTTTTATGTTAAATTAATCCTTTAAGTTTTAAAACATTTTAATTTCATATCAAAAATTTGGAAGTACATGACCAGTTTAGCACTATGCAACAAGAGTTGCCAACATTCTTAAACACTATAATATTTCATAGATATTAAATTAATGTTATATTGTGTTTTAAATCAAGTTTGTATGAAACCCTAAAAGCTTTACAGCTCCTAACACACCAAACTTACCCTTTAAAGACGATATTGACTTCTCTGTCAATAAACCTACGGCATATGACACGATCCAATTCGCAAGCTTATAACATCGTGAATTCATGATTCGAGTATATCTACAAAGAAAGCTAAGATTTGGAACATATAACATCATGATAGCATCAAAACAGGCAGAAGAAAATAACACAAAACCCCAACCAAAACACCATCAAACCATCCTATAAATACGCGCAAAAATGACTATCCATGTAGCTACCATCTGTATATCATATTGAGAGTATCCATATCCACTTGTGCAGATAAACCTTTACTTATATACATTGCCCATCGGTTAGCTACTCGAATGGCTGAGGCAGACCCATAACTACTTTTCAATCATAACATATTGAACACACTTCCTATATACTTGGAGAAATAAAATTTTCAGTTACAGAGTTAGTTTCTAGATACATTATCATACCTAAATCTGAGTGCAAAATCTTCAAATAGTGCCAAATCCTTTTTTATACATTTCATAAACTACCCTTAACCTCTCCTTCCTCAAAAAAAAATTAATTATACCCACATGTGCAGGACATTACGTGCCTAAGTCTACTCAAGCCCACTACCTCTAGGAGTCTGCAATAGCATCGCTGCCAACTGAGTATAATACAGAATGGTAGGAAACTACATGGAAATCCTTTTGGTTTACAGAGAACTATTATAATACACGAAAGAGACTGATATAAGTAAAAGCATAGAAGCCCAAAAGCAAGAGCTGAATGAACAGTGGAAAAGCAAGTTCATCTGAACAAATTAAAATAGCATCTTGGTATTAAATGCAACTAGTGTACACCATTTATAGTTGCCACTGTACAGACCACATCAGTTGATTAAATGCACATACATGTTCATTGCAACTGTAAAATTTATACTGTATCAGCAAAAAATAGTAGAATACGACTCTTGAAGAAGGAAAAGGTCATACTGGCTGTTGAATTTTGAAAATCGGTACTTCTGAATTTGATAGGATTATACATCTTGTAGAGTCCCATTCACAGTTGAAAGGCATACTGTGATCCCTATCATGTCTCAGCCTTGCTTTCAAAGTCAAGCAGCTGGAACCTTTTTTCCATCCTCAATAAAGAAAATTGAAGTTTCCATGACCTAAGGAAGAGGGGGAAATGAAAGTTAGTTAATTAATGTAATTTGATAACTGTCCGATAATCTTGTAGAAGAAAACTGTATGCATGTAGATAACCCTATCCAGAAAAAAAAATATAAAAAACAACGAATATCATCCCTGCCTTTCTTGCAAACTTGATCAAAAAGAAAAGTTTTTATTCTGCCACTACTAAGTAACCAATGACCATGAGTCCATGATTCTCAAGAACTCGTTTAAAAAGTTCAAATGTTAGTTCTGATCGTCGATTCATAAAAGAAAAGGGGGAAAAATAAATGAATTTCTAATTGCTTCTTTAAAGAAAATATTCAGAGAACAATAATTTTTTTAAGCCATGGCACTCTGAAAACATTTACGAAAACTATTTGTTTATCTTAGCACAAAATTCCAAACTACACATAATTACATGAAAAATTTATGCCTTTAAGCCCCCCACCAGATCGGCTGCACATTATAGGTTTTGCTATTACTCAACAAGTCATTATATCAAGGTTTCAGATGACTTCAAAACACTGTTTCCTCTTTCCATGCTTTTATGTCTTTTAATAAGATTCAAAAACACATATAATAACAAAAGTAGGCTTAATTTTGTATCTTCCACAAATCACAAGTCAAAATGACGTTTACAAATAAATTCTAAGAGAATTCAACAGTGATACAGGTGCCACGAAGTTTACATGTAAAAGGTACATCCATTAACAATAGAGACAAGCAATGTGAATAGAGCATGGCACATTAACTAATGCAAAGTTTCAGCACCATTTTTCTATAGTTTTCCTTCTTGGAGGCACGTTTACTTTGTGAGAAAATGGAAAAGAAAGTAAAGGGTTTCTCATTTAGTTTACATTGACCAATGTAGTTGCAACTTGCAATGCTAGATGATTTTGGCTCAGGGTCCTTATATAATGAGGGATAGCCTGCATTATAGGATACAAATTTCATTTGGCATAAATCGAGATAAGACTGATTTTATTTATTTATCTTAATCTACAAGGCATGATGCATGCTTATTCTAGTTTGGCTGAACTTATTGGTATAAGAGTAGTAGTCTGCCTCTAAGAAGTTCACCATTGAAGTTAAAGGAAAGAAATGGGGATAGACGCAACTTAGCATAGCACATTAAAAAGGAAAGAGAATGGTAGTAGTATTACATAAGGCCAGGTTTCTGTTCCTTATCAGTTGGCCCCTGAAATCAATCAGTTGAAAAAATAGTGCATGAAATCATGAGATATTACAACAAAGAGAGTTAAATAGCTCTTTTCTGCAGTGTAATGCACCTTTACAACAGACGCTCCAGTAGCAAACTTTTTTCCAAGTTTCTTTGAAGCATCACTTAATTTTACACCTGAACCAAGTTAAGCATGGTCATGAGATGTCAGTATTGACACAAATTACGCTTAAGAAAGCAAAAAACTAGCATGTGGCTCACCGAAGTGTTCCAGGCCTTTTACAGTAGTTATACATTTGCGCTTGTTACGCACAACCTTTTCAATGATAACTTCTTTCTTCTCCTACACAAGAAAAAAAAACTCAAATTTTCAATTCTATTAAACTAACTTGATATATCCACTGAATGACATAAAAATCCATTTCATGTGAGTAATGTTCTCATGCATAGAAGAGTCACTGATTGTACTTTCTTTTTAATTTTCCCACCAGGAAGACGCTTAACTTCCTCTGGCTTAGCTTCTGAACTACCACCTGCAACCAAGGAAAAAAGGAGTGAAGAATGACATCCTATTGAAAATTTAAGCAAAATCACCACAAAAAAAAAACATGTTATTGCAAAATTAATCGTTTATAGTTTCTTTTATTTATTTTCTCAATAATTATTATCAAAACTAAGTTTAATCAACAAGAAACTAGAAACAAAATTCAAATCAGATCTGACATTCATATCCAAAATAAATTTAGCTGTATCAGCAGAGGAGATGCCAGTGGATTGTAACCGATCAGCAACGTTATCAGCTTCATTAGCACTCGCAGCTGCAAATTTAAATTGAATTAAATAAAATATTCAAAAAAATCAAAAGATCGGTTGCGATTTTCAAGTTTTAACTCCACGATGGCGTTTACCTTTGAGGAGATCCGGGTAAAGATCCGGTACGTTTTGGATCAACCAGGGCTTGCCTTTGTCGAAATCGGGTCCGAATTTGCAGTATTCGGGGGCAAACCGCAAACTTGACAATACCGTAAGACGACCGGTTGAGATTTCTCCGCCATTAGACCGCCGCCTCAATGATTCAATTCTCCTTTTCTTGCTTCTTCACTCTACTTGTTGCATAAACGAGCCAAAACGCAGCGTTCGGTAATCACAATTTGATCCTCTAACTTTCAGTTATCACTTTTCAGTTTTAAATTTAATCTCGAATTAAACTACCATTTAATTTAGGGGAAACTACGTATTTAGCTACCCATTATCACTTTAGTCTCATTTTGGTATGCTAACTGTTATTCTTTTTCAAAATAATATCTAACGTTAAGTTTTGATTCTGTTTTGATAATATATAATTCTATAAACTACTGGCGATATAGATCATATCACGTCAAAACAAAATTAAATGAATTTAAGCTTAAAATTTTATAATGACTTAGTATTATCTAATTCAATGATAATACATAAAATGATATATTATCAATGTATAAAATATCGATCGTATATATTTACTTGATCCTTTTCAATTTTGAAATTAATCAAATTAAATTGTAACCCTCTTTCTTTCTTTCTTTTTAAATACTTATTGGATCCTTGTCGATTTTAAAAGTAAACATATTTATCTTTATTTTGATCTATTTTTTTACTTAAATTTTCAACTCTATTTAACATAATTATCATAATACCTTTTTTATATATATTTAAAGATGATTATTATAATGTCAATGTATATTGTTTTCAATTATCTTTCTATCTTATTGAATAAAGAGAATATTTATTCGTGTCGGATCGAAACAATTTTTTATCTCAAAATTTAAAACAAATTCAAAATAGATAAAATTTCAACAAACGTTAAGATAAATTGAATCAGATAATTTTATTTAATTTTTAAATAAAACTTAAAATAATCAAAAACCGATCCGCTCGCCTCCATGTTCATTCCTAATCGCATGTGATGCAAACTCTACCCCTCTTTATTTTTGTCATCAAAAAGTACACAAAAGGACATTCACGCATGTCATGGAATCGCATATTGAGTTCTGCTTTAGAGAGCCAATCCAATGGCATTTACATTATTTGAAAATCAAAAGGAGCCTTTCAGACTCAGTTTTCACCTTTAAGGTATATGATATGATATTATTTGCATGAAAAACGAATCTTTCCAATTATACGTAAGGCAAAGTTTAGACCTTTATCAATATCTCTTTTTAATTCAATTCAATAAAAATAACATTTTCAAATCTATTAAAATAAAATTTTAATTCAATCCTTTATTAGTCTAAAGTGGATATAATATATCCGTTTAATTTTTTCATTAATTGACAATACACGTACAAATATGTAGTTGCTCAAATCCAAAACATCTAAATAAACAACATTATAATTGTTTATATTTTAATGATTATGCTTTTAATTTTAATCACTCGGTACTATTGCCAATATAACACTTTCATATATCTGCATTTATAAGGGAGCCCAGCACTCTTGTATGTGTCATACGTCAGGTTCTAAAGTTGTAGAAGGATTATTTATGAAGGTGAGAGTGTATTAATCTTATATTATAAAAATAAGAGAAAATTTTAACTTTTAAAAGCAATTATATTATATTTTCTATAAGATTTACTTTTTAAGAATAAAAGTTATAGTTAAAGTAATCTTTTGACTATTTGTCTTTACATTAAATATCTTAATAATTAAGATAAACAAAACGGACCAAACGTAAATATGAATCAATGATGAAGATCGTATGATGGAGAATGTCACGTCCTAAGCTCTAGAGAGGAAGACAAACTAAAGGCAGTAAAGTGTATCAATCCATGTAGATTACCGTTTAATATATCGTTTGAGATAAAAAAAATTATTGAATCTTATTTAATATATCCTTTAAAAATAAGAGAATAAGCGTGACACATATCTATTGAATCTTCTCTAATAAATAATTATATATTTTAAAACTTGCTTTTAAATTGAATTGAAACATTATGAAACTTACATATATTTCATTCCAATTGTTATCGGCAAAAGTGCCCAGATAATGTGAATGAGAAAGTTTATTTCCAAAATGATGCACTTAGCCGATTAATTTCCATCTAGGGTGTTTTCTACAGTGTTTTATGGCTGCATGGGATATCTCGACGTCTTCAAAGGAAAATTTTCCCATGCAAACCATCCTTTGAAAATCAGTTGGAAATCTTGGAATCTTTAGGGTGAATTATTCCCTTGTTGGAAATCCCGACGTCTTTAGGATTTTAATACAGAAAAAAAAGTTGACGTTTTTACATAAATATCACCTTAAAAAAATTAATTATTTGCTAGATCCGTAAAATTTTCTAAAACGATGCCTAATAAATAATTAATTTCTATTAGAGTGATATTTGTGTAAAAACCCAACTTTTTTTCTTTATTGACAAAATTTGTAAAAGCTTTTAAAGATTTTAATGCAGAAATAATTTTATAAAATATTACGAATAATCATCATCATCATTTTAAAAAATAATTTTGCAGAAAGGCGCGACACATACACCGCATAGGATTTTGAAAAATAAATACTAGTTATAAAACTTTTATAAAATTATTTATATTTTAAATTACTTACCTTCAAAATTTTCCTAGACTATACAATATGTATACGATTTTGAAAGGGTCAAAAACGTATCAGAAAATGTTAAGTGATAGTTGGTAGACATAACTGTATTGTATAATTTCATGCAAAAACTAAAATTTATCGAGTTATAAAATAAATTACAAAAATGTTTAAAGATTTTAATGAAGGAAAAAATTGTGTTTTTACACAAATATCATTATAACAAAATTTAATTATTTGTTAGACACCTTTTCAAAAAAATTACGGATCTAGCAAATAATTAATTTCTGTTAAGATGATATTTTTGTAAATATGACAACTTTTTTTGTGCATTAAAATCCCGGGATTTTCACATGGTTTGCATGGGAAAATTTTCCCTTAAAAACGTCGAAATATCTCATGCAGTCATACAACACTACCTAGATGAGGAATTAATTAGCCGAGTGCATCATTTTGAGAAATAAATTTTTTTCATCCACATTATCTGGACACTTTTACCGTTATTACCTCTAATTTCTATTTAAATATTATCATATTTGCACGATATCGTTTGTCCTCCCATGCTCATAAATTTTTTGAATTTTGTGTGTGAATTTGAACAATGATTTAGATAATTGAACTACGATTAAATTAATAAATTTAATATGGGTATTTCAATTCAATTTGAACTTGAATACATAAAATATTTATTTGTAAAAAAAACTAAGTTAATCCGATTCCAACTAACCTAATCTATCATGTCAAGTTTATTCTTAATATTTAATGATTCGTTGAGGCAAATGCCATCACATAGAATTCAAGAAAATGATGATTAATTATGATTTTATTTTTTTATATATTTATATTTGAAATTTACAATAATAGTTGATGTAAAATTAGTGAGATAGAAAGGTTATAGTTAACTATACGATCTTTAAACTCGTTACTCCAAAAAAAATTAATTATTAAAATAGTTTGATTCATATGAAATATTATTATTTTGAAATAAAAGAAAGTAAAATCGCAGCAAAATGATCCCAAGAAAATTCACATTATTTGGCATAAACAATACATGGCTACAAATAGGGACACTAAATGCCCCTATGAACACAATATTCAAATCTCGTAGGCTAGACGGTTTGATGCTTTGAATATACTAAAAAGACAACCGTCCACTTGAACCATGCACAAGCACATGAACCACTAATTAATCCAACTCTACTTCCACGAAATACTACACACTCCAAATGACGGAAAACCCCACCATTTCCCACCAGAACTACATGAAACCAAGGGCCAATAGTTGGTCATTTTGGTTGTGGGTTAATTAACGTTTTAGTTCCTCTACTATACTGAAATTTGAGATTTAATTTAATATGGGAAATTAAATCTTAAATTTTTATTACAGTAGAGGGAATGAAACCATAATTAAACCCTTTAGTAGGACAATGCTGTCGGGCATCAGCTAGCTCTATCCTCCTTGAACTAAAAAGACAACATGAGATCCTAAGTTTTTAATGTCGAAACCTTAATAACAAAAAAAATGGAAGTAAAAAAAAATCTCAGATTAAGTTACTTGCTTTGGCCCTGAGCATGTCCTTATAACGCAACAGAGAATCCAACCTCTGCAACTTAAGCTGCTGCTTGAACTTGTTGATGAAATCATCAGCTTTTGCATCGACGCCTTGATCGTCGCCGTCGCCGTCGCCGTCGCCGTCGCCGAACGACGTCGTTTTTTCGATCCTCATCGTCGCCGGTCGCCTTCTCTCCAACTCTTCTTCTTCCTCTCCGGCCTTAGCCCTCGAGTTCTCACTCGCCGATTTCTTCATTTTTTCTGAAACTTTCCTTTGTTTTACTTTATTCTGCTCCGATTTGCTTCTCTTTACTACTTGACCCTGAACTGGAGTATTACTCGTATCGATGACCCAACCGGGTTCTTCTTCGGGTGTAAGGTGGCCGCTTTCTGGGTTTACTTTTCCGGAGTCTGATCTGTAAAAGGATGTGAAATCGATGGACTTAACACGCTCTAACAACGATGGCGGTCGGCTGAGGGGCTGTTCGACGTAGACCGGGTCTGGGTTTTGAGGTGGGTATTTGTAGAGGTTCAAGTTAATGGACTTGACTCGTTCGAGAATCGACGGGGCTCGCCCGACCGGGTGGGGCTCCGAGTCATTATCAACATGTTGTTGGAGATGATGATGGCCTTCGTCGAATTTGAATGTCGAGAAGTTGATCGACTTAACGCGATCTAGTAACGACGACGAAGCTCGCAGTAGCGGCGGAGGAGCTGAGTATGAGTAGTATCCGACGTCGTGGCGAGGTTGCGTTTTGGGAGGAGAAAGGCGGGAGAGGAGGAAGACGGTGCCGATGACGACGTTTAGGAGGAGGAAAAGAGAGGTCGGCGTTAGCCAGCTTGCTATAAAATCCGACATATTAGAGAGAGAGAGAGAGCAGAAAAGAGACAAGAGTTGGAAGGTTGGAGATGAGTTGCTGTAATAGGCTTTTTGAAGATAGCAGTTGTCGTTAGCTTGTTGGAGCTGCGAGTTTGGGAGAAACAATATATTTTCGGTTTAATAGGGAAATTCAACGTATCAGCATGCTGCACGTAGCTTTCTGTATTTTTTTATAACTAGTTAATTATTTTAAATTAAATATTATAAAATTTATTAAAGTATTTTCCTTTAATTCAATTTACTACAAAATCAAATTTGCATATTAAAACTAAAATTAAGTGTAAAGGAAAGTGTCCTACGTACATTATCAAATAGTAATAATTTCTCTGCATTATTTTATATTTTAAGAATATTTAAAAATCAACGATTTATTTGTAACATGAATTCAGGGTTGTTATAGCAACTTTATTTTTGAATTTTTGTAACTTGTAAATAAGAACGAAGTTGAAAAGTGTGGACAGTCAATGTAACTTAGTTTAAGATGTGAGTCGTTGAAGAATGACAATAATAAAAAATGACAGTATGAGTTCGACCTATTTCTATAAGAGAAAATCGCCTCAGTGACCAAAAATACCTTATAATATACGATTTTAACCAACTTTTTTTGGATTTGCCAAAATGACCAATAAAATCGCAACGCGATATCAAAATCGCAACGCGATTTAGAAAATCGCAACGCGACTGAGAGAATCGCAATGCGATTAAGAGAATCGCAACGTTAAAAAGATAGTTAAAAGATTTTTGTTTCTTAAGAATTTTCTCTAAAAAAATAGTATCCGCGCGGACGTGTCGAAGACACGTATTACCACGACCACGACCACAACCACGACCCGACTCGAGACGAGACGGCGGCGGCGGCGGCGCGCGAGAGTCCCCCTTGTCCTCTTTCACTCAACAAGGAAGTGCAAAATACAAGCCTTAAATACCATTCCCAATAGTATTTCCAATACTATGTGGGATTGAGCATTACCAACACTTGTTCCAAATATCATTATTCTTCATAAGTTATCATCCATTACAATATGAATTAGTCGTGTTAATGAACCAATATACCTCATTAATATATGGTATTGTTGAACAAAAGAATGATGATGATGATCTTATTAAAGACCATCTAATACGAAAGAATCCAATGCATAACCGATACCTTATTGTGAAACTAATTCACATAGAGGTTGTACGTGAAAAAAAAATCTTTTACTTTTATAGTAAATATCTATCTCAATAATTTTAATATAAAAAATATATTTTTTATTTAATAATAGAATTATTTCATGTATTTATCAAGTTATAATTTTAAATACTTATTAAAATGAATTAATTTATTATCGATAATTCATATTGTAATGGATGATAACTTATGAAGAATAATGATATTGGGAACAAGTATTGGTAATGCTCAATCCCACATAGTATTGGAAACACTATTGGGAATTATATTTAAGGCTTGTATTTTGCACTTCCTTGTTGAGTGAAAGAGAACAAGGGGGACTCTCGCGCGCCGCCGCCGCCGTCGTCTCGTCTCGGGTCGTGGTCGTGGTAATACGTGTCTTCGACACGTCCGCGCGGATACTATCTTTTTAGAGAAACAAATGTTTTTTTATTTTCAACGTCAATCGCGTTGCGACTCTCTCAATCGCATTGCGATTATATAAATCGCATTGCGATTTTCTTCTAAGACTCTCTCAATCGCATTGCGATTCTATCAATCGCATTGCGATTTTCTTCTAAATCGCGTTGCGAACTTGGAAGCTCGCGTTGCGACTCTCTCAATCGCATTGCGATTATATAAATCGCATTGCGATTCTATCAATCGCATTGCGATTTTCTTCTAAATCGCGTTGCGAACTTGGAAGCTCGCGTTGCGATTTTCTTTTTAACGTTGCGATTTTCTAAATCGCGTTGCGATTTTGATATCGCGTTGCGATTTTATTGGTCATTTTGGCAAATCCAAAAAAAGTTGGTTAAAATCGTATATTTTAAGGTATTTTTGGTCACTGAGGCGATTTTCTCTTTCTATAAAGATGAGGATGAAAAAAAACTTTTTCCCATATGTGGAAGTCTTTTTCATATATTTTGTGATTTAAGCTTATCTACACTCTTCAAAGGCGAACGGAATAGATAGCTTTATTGTGTGTCCGATCAAAGAAAGACAACAAGTGATGCCCTCGAATTGAAGTATGACTGCAACAAAAGAAAGGTCTAAAGAGAGATTAGTAAAGTATAAGATAAGATAATAATGAAATGGAAAGTAAAATGAAATAAGGATAGCGTTGGTTGCGAAAGATAGTTGTTGATGATGGTGACCTTCAATGGTGTTGATGGAAGATGGTGTTGAAGATGTATGAGTGGCAATGGTGATGGTGATGGAGATAGTATCTCAAACTCGTCAAAGAAGAAGATATGCTATGAAGCACAACTTTCTCCATCGATAATCATGAAACAAACTTTGTTGTTTACATGACATCGAGTGTGAAAGATGTTCTCTCTTTGGTTGTCCTCAATGGATTAAATGTTCAAAGTTCTTTTAACAACAAGAACTTGTCCTAAAATACTAGGAAGGTCCAACGAAACTTGTGACATTGTTAGTAATAATAAGGAAATGAAAACCTTACCAACACGATCACAAATACTCACTAGTTCACTCCAAAGGAAATTAAGAGATCATTTCACTCAACGCTCGTGTTTGCACTCGGGAATATTTTCTTGGCTTTTATCAATTCCCCTTCTGATCTCACACTCTCAATTTACCTTTTTCCACTTGATCCCTCTTTTTAATTTATTTAAAAAAAACTAACTCAAGATCAATGCAAGTAGTTTCAACTTGATGTGCGTCGGCTGTAAATATAGTTAGAATAGAAAAATAGAAAAATAGAAAGAAGTAAAGGGATATGTTTAGAAAAAGGAAGAAAATAAGGAATGTGGTGACTTACAACTCAAGAACAACACTTACAACCTCTTTTATCGAGACACAACAAGGATATCTCTTCAAGTATGATTGATGTTGATATGTTTCCATTGTTTTGTCTTGCAGCATTCTTCCTTTTATTTTGCTTTGAATTTACTTTGCTAGAATTTTCTTTCTTTTATTCTCTTTTTATGCTTTTCTTTTGCATTTTTTTTTGTTTTGTTTCACGCCAATGGCACTTGTTTGTTGTCAATCTAACTATGTTCTGAATACCGCTTGATGTAAGTCTATCCACACTCTTCGAAGATGAAGGGAATATATAGCCTTACTGTGTGCCTGATCTAGGAAAGACAGCAAGTGATGCCCTCGAATTGAAGTATGGCTACAACAAAAGAAAGGTTTAAAGAAAGATTAGTAAAGTATAAGATAAGATAATAATGAAATGGAAAGTAAAAATGAAATAATGATAGAGTTGGATGTGGAAGATAGTTGTTGATGATAGTGGCCTTTAATGGTGTTGATGGAAGATGGTGTTAAAGATGTATGGGCGGCAATGGTGATGGAGATAGTATCTCAAACTCGCCAAAGAAAAAGCTCTGCAATGAAGCACAACCCTAATCATTATAAACTTGCTTGAGGGATAGTAGAAGTTACTTAAACCCTATAGATAATAATCTAGGAATTTAAAGTATCAAGGTGATTATAATTACACCATAAGTATGAAATTATACTTGCTTAATCGATATAGTTCTAAAAAGAACTTGGAAGAGAGGTAAACTCACAAAAGGATAATTTTGATTAAGTGATGAGATGATATTATTACAAATGATGAATGTCTTTCCTATTTATAGGAAATGGAAGGCTTTGGCCGAATAGGTAGGTAATGTTTCGACCAATGTACAAGTCTTTATGAAAGTACATAATTAATTAAATAAATGCATAGGTCCTTTGGCATCATGATGGTTCGACTAACTCTTCATAAAAGAGGTGTTGATTCAGCTAGGATGGATGAATGTGTCCTTGGTCGAATAGTCATTGTGCTTGTTCATCTTGGCGCCAAACTCAAGCATGTGCAAGGCATACTTTATGTGTGTGGTCGAATGGTCATGATGGCCTCCTCATGTCTCTTCTTGATTTAGGCATCCTTTGGCTGAAATCTCTTCACCAACGTGCACCCTTTTGATAATGACTTTTCATGGACAACAACCTTCATGAAAGGACCCAATGTTTGGAATGTAACCTTTCATGAAAAGGCATGTTCTAGGGTGAATGAGCTGGAAGTGAGCTGGCCATAGATGAATTATAACTTGAGGAAACATTTGGCAGCTCTTGGTGAAAAGTAATGTCTCGGAATGACACCTCTTCGCGAAAAGGCATGAACTGTAGAAAAATGACTTTTCATAAAATTAAAGTCCCTTGATGAAGAATGATATTCGTGCATCTCCCCAGCTGATTTGAGTAGCTTAGTTAGCTCAAAAGTCCATCTCAATATAACTATGAGCTTAAAGTTTAGCTGACAACTTTTCCCAAAATTATTTCTTAGCTTCCCCAGAGTTTCGTATATAAGTTCCCATAGCTTTGACCTTTATTTGCTAGCTTGTTTAAGTTATCTTTGATGTGTTCGAATACTCTTTCACAAAGAACACATAACATAAGTAAGTAAAATAAATTAATAAAGCATATAATATAAAGATGTGGGCTATAGGTTATATTAAATTTCAATTTGCAACATGTTATATAACATATCATTCAAAGGTTCATTTTTATTAAAAGATTTAAAAGCATAAATGTATTTGTGAGAAAGGACTTCCTTGAATTGTTTAGTCTTTGCTCTAGTGATGGGTCCTTGTGGCATGACTTCAGGATCCGGTGGTGTATAAATTATTGCATTATCTCTCTTCTATAATGAAGGGAATAAATAACCTTATTGTGTGTCTGATCTAGGAAAAAAAACAAGCGATGCCCTCGAATTGAAGTTTGGCAACATTACCTTTGGCCAAAAGAGTTCGTTATTCATACATATCATGAAGCTTTGAAGCATATCAAGGGTCAACAAAGATTGAATAAACGACATGCTAAATGGGTAGAGTTTTTGGATTCATTTACATACGTCATTCATTATAAGAAAGGAAAAATAGCGTTGTGGCAAATGCACTCTCTCGAAGGTA